AGGGCATGACCTTAGAAGCCGAATCGGAGCGAGGCATACGTTTCAGAATTCAGAGTCGGAAGCTGTGTCGTGTGGAGCATGGATAAATTCAGTCCCCTCCGCTCTCTTTCTCAATCGCTGCAGACTCGCAGGACTCCAAAAAAAAAAAAAAGCCTTGTATTACTGGAGATGTCGCCGCCGATGCCGCTGTCGTGGGTGCAGGACAGCAAGATGTACTTCGCCAAGCAGCGGCTGCCGTTGGAGGACCTGACGCAGACTTGCCGGAGGGACCGGTACTGCGTCAGCTGCGCCCGCGCCTTCTGCTCCCACTGCTGCTCCTCGCATCACCTGTGGCCGGGGCACCACCACATTGTCGTGCCGGTCACCGTCGACGCCGCCACCGGCCGGCCAACCTTCCAAAACCGCGACGCGGAGGGGCACAGGATGTTCCCGCGCGTCATCGCCGACGCCATCGTCTCGCACGACTACGCCACGCGGCTCCCCAGGGACGCCTACTGCGCGAGCTGCCAGGTCGCCTTCTGCGCCGCCTCCTGCCACCACCACTACGACCACCACCGGAACGGCGACGACGACCCGGTCCCCGACTCCGTCCTCCGAATCGAGGAGGGCGGCGGGCGGCGCTGCGTGCGGTCGACGGGCTCCGATTGGTGGCTCCCTTACCTGGAGAGCGTCCTCGGCGACCCGGTGCACGAGGGCGAGGACGAGCGCGGGGAGTACTACGAGCTACTGCCGATACTGACGAGGCCGCCGGGCGGCTGCGCGCACTGCCGCCGCCATATCGGAATCCAGCACTCCTCACACTGCTCCATGGCCTGCTACAACAGCCACCAAGGGGAGGTCGCGGAGCGGAGGCGGCGGCGGGAGGCCAGGAACGCAGCCCGCGGGATCGCCAAGCTGCAAGTCGAATGATTTCGCTCACCTACCTGTAGAATAAGCAAAGCACCTCAATCTTTTGTTATTTTAGTACTACTACTACGTATTGCTTTGTAACGAATTAATGATGGTTTGTCCGAAAAAAAAGGGAAATAATGGGTTGATGAGTTAGAATTTGTTATTTTAAAATACATAGGCCTTGTTTGATTCGATGGGCTAATGTTTAGCCCTCACATTTTAGCCTCAAATTAGCCCTTACGGATCCAAACAGGTGGGCTAATTTTAAGCTAATGTGAATTAGCCCCCCTCAAAACATTAGCCCCTCCAAGGGGTGCTAATGGGGCTAATTTTGTGTGGGGACCATAAAAAAACAGCTCTCTCTCATTCTCTCTCCTCTCTTTCTACTCTCTCCACCTTTTAGCCTTGAATTAGCCCATAGATTCAAACATATCACCCTAGGCTAATGTTTAGCCTACCAATTCATGACTAAACATTAGCTCTCAAAATTAGCCCTGGGCTAATCTCCCAAACAGGGCCATAGTACAATGCAGATACTCACAATACACTTACACTCACCTCGATGAAGGCACGCTCGCAAATTCTATCCCTATGAGCATTCTCGAAGACTGGACCAACAAATACTTTAGATTTATGAAGTCACCATAGACACATCGCTGTCGTGATGGTACTATAAGGGAACACACGTGCACACAAACTTAAGTATAAATTCTACTTAATGCAGATTAATATGATTTTTCAAAATATTTTTCTATTTTTTTAAAAAAACACATCGTTTAGTATTTCGTGAAGCATACGCGTGAAAAACGAGAGATGAGAAGTTGAGAAAGTGAGTCTAACGTTTATATAGGAATAGAATTTATAAATAACTGAAATTTGGAATTAAAAAATAATTAATAACTATCACCTATACACAATACAATATAAATATTACATATTGGTTAGTTTGGTCCAGTTAGTACATAATTTAAAACTATTTTGGTATTTTAATATATTTCATAATAATATGTGAAAATACATATGCTATTATGTGAGAAAAAATAGCCGCGTAATCCGCGTGAGCCATTCAATTAACTCTACATTAAAAAAAGATAAATCCTTTCTTCCTATAAAGTTAAGACCTAAAACTGAAATCTCAGTGTTCCACGTCATCGTTAATTCTCAGCCGTTTGATTGGTGGATGAGATCGCATATGAATCGTTGGATGTGAAGGTCCTCGAGCGAGATGTTGAGCAATTCGTTTATGCATGTGTTAATTTGTAATGCATGTAACGCATGCATGTACGGGTGAGATATTGAGCAGTGCGTTTATGATTAGAGGCAATGGACCATGGTTAATGCCATTTATTCTCCTCCTAAATCTCTCTTAATTCTTCCAGATTATTCAATAATCACATGCATGTAACTGAACAGAGCCAACGCCATTTAAGAGGTTATTTGTTCAATATGGCAAATGATTGGTTTTATATTGGTTTAATCTAAATGCATATATATGCAGTAGACCCACCGATTCCTTTTGAGCAAATGCAATTTCAATTTACTAGACACTTCCATCATTTATCTATATGTAAAGATTAATCTTAGAATACTACGTACTGAAAGTATCTCATGTCCCGAGCAATATCAAACCACCTTTGTTTTACTTTTCAACGACCAATACTATATGATTTAAATTGCTTTAAACCTCACCATCTTAATTATTTATAGCTTTTTTTAAATAGTTGATTAGAGTTAAAAGTTATACAAGTGTAACTATTATTTCTTCTAATATCATAATAAACTCCTGCAGCACCGTACGGAGTTTCATCTAGTTCTTCTGAGAAGTAGAACCCTGCAAAACATAGAATATGAAAACAAGAGTTTGTCCCCTACATGCTGTTTGTTTTATTTAACACAAGGCAGGTATCTGTTTGTTTCTTTTATTGGAGCGGTTCTGACACTTTTTTTTTTCACATTACAAAGTCCTTATAGTATCTTTTGCTAGAAGTCTTAAAAGCTTAAACTATGCTAGGGGGTGTTTAGATCCCACCCAAAATTTTTATGATACACCTATATAAAGTATTAAATATAACCTAAAAAAATAATTAATTACACAGATTACGACTAATTTGCGAGACGAACCTTTTAAGCCTAATTGCTAGGGATGGCAATTTTACCCATGGGTCCGGGTATCCGTGGATACCCGACCCGATGGGCACGGGTGTGGGTGTGACTTTTTACCCATGGGCACTCCCGCTCGAGACCCGAAGACGTTATGGGCAATAGGCGGGTTTCATTTTTTACCCATGGGTAACCCATGCCCGACGCGATACATATGTATTAGCTAATTTTGACTCATTTCTTAAATATTATACCATTTATCTCGGTTCATTTGTGATGCTAACAAATACTAAGTTGTGATGTAATTTAAATTATTGTTGATAACCGATAATTTGGTAATTATTGATTTTATTTATCTTTGTTAAATTATATCTTTCAAGTTATTATTCATATGAGATCCATTGGGTACCCGCCGGATATACCCGCGCCCGCTGGGCATGGGTACGTGCACGAAGTTTTGCCCACTAACTCTTGTGGGTAGGGTTTGGGCGGGCAATGTTGGGCATCAGGTCAGGCATGGTTTTGCTCTACCCGTGCCTGACCCGACCCATTGTCATCCCTACTAATTGCTCTATGATTTAACAATGTGGTGCTACAGTAAACATTTACTAGTGACGGATTAATTAAGCTTAATAAATTCGTCTCGCGGTTTACTGACGGATTCTGTAATTAGTTTTTCTATTAGTGCCCAAACATCCCATGCGACACATCAAACTTTACATTCCTGGATCTAAACACCTATTCCAGCAGCAACAATTTTGTTCGTGTCATGCAGTTATGACCTATGATGCTAAGGCTGTGTTTAGATGAGGGGTGTAAAGTTTTGGCGTGTCACATCGGATATACGGATTACACATTTAAAATATTAAACGTAGTTCAATAATACAAATCCGTCTGTAAATCGCGAGATGAATTTATTAAGCCTAATTCTTATTTCAAGGTTCCCAACTCCCCCTCCTCGTTTTTCACGCGCACGCTTTTCAAACTGCTAAACGGTGCATATTTTGGAAAAAGTTTATATACGAAAGTTGCTTAAAAAAATCATATTGATCCTTTTTGAAAAAAAATTAGCAAACAATTAATTAATCACGCACTAATGAACTGCTTCGTTTTCCGTGCCGGAGGGATGGGTTTCCAACCCAAACAAACGAACAGAGCCTAACCCATCATTATCAAATGTTTACTATAGCACTACATTGTCTAATCATGGTGTAATTAGGCTTGAAAGATTCATCTCGCAATTTACGCGCAATCTGTGTAATTATTTTTTTCTATATCTAAGACTCCACATATATGTACAAATATTCGATGTGACATGGTGTAAAATTTTGACAAGGATCTAAACAGGCCTAAAATGCTAAAAATGGCAGCCCTTGTGTTCTGCTGGGCTTCGGGGCGGGTGCGACTCGCGAGGGTGAAGGATGGCTGCTGCGACGGCCGACTTGGTCGCAGGAAGCAGCTCACGTGACACGTCGCGCGCCCCGTGAGCAAGGCAATGCAGAACCAAGCTCAAGTGAACAAGGCAAAATTCTCAAAAAAAAGTGAGCAAGGGGCAAGGCAGAACCAAAGCAAGTGAGTACGTGGCACGTCGCGCGTGCACACGATAGAACGAACTCGCAATATGAGCAACGCATGCACCACACTTTCCCCCGCGTTAGCTCCCCGCCCCGGCGGATGGGTTTCGTGCAATTCTCGGCGCGGGGGGCGTCTCGCTCCTCGATCCTCACGAGCTCACCGGTCCACGCTCCCCAACGCTACCACGCACCAGACATCGATCGGTTGCATCGCGTCGCGGCAACGTAGACTGCGTAGTAGACTAGACACGGGCAGGTCCGGCGCTTGCGGCGAATATTTCCGTTCACGTCGATGCGGCTCGTCTGCCTTTTCCCCGACCTGCCCCTCCCCGCACACACCGAAACGGCAACTGTCAAAAGAAAAAGGGTAAATTTAAGATCACCCATCCTCCAGCTCTGCGTTTCTGGTCTCCACCACGCGACAAAACCCAAGGATTGATTCAAACTCGTCCCACCAATCTTTCCCATTGATTCGATTTGCTTGTCTCAAACCCTAGCTTCTACTAGTACTCCTCATCGATCGCCGCTCTCGAACTCGCACCGGGCCCGAATGGCGCCTCCGTCGTGGGTGATCCTGAGCTGCGAGCCGCGGGTGTGCGGCGACGACACCGTCCTGCCGCAGGGCGCCGACGTCGCCCTCTCCCTCGCCGCGCCGCCGCGTGTCGCGGTGCTCTCGGTGTCCCGGCGCGTCTCGCCGGCCGAGGTGGACCCCTGCGCCAGGTGCAAGTCCCCCTTCGTCCTCGCGCTCGACCCCTCCGCGGGGCTCGTCCTCCTCGTCGCGCCGCCGCCACCGTCCCCCGACGACTCCGGCGACCTGCGGTCCTGGACAGACCGCGACGGCAACGAGCGCACGTTCCGTGTCAGCCTCATCCCGCGCCCGCTCTACTTCGTCTGCGACGTCGCCGCCGCCACCGCCTCCCACGTCCCCGACCCGGAGCGCCTCATCTTCAACAACGACCTCGGCGTCATCGCCGCGCCAGGAGGAGGCCGGGGGAGCTACATGGTCGTCGAGTTCCAGTTCATCGTTAGCGGCGACGAGGCCACCCTCCTCCGCTTCTCGTCCGAGACCGGCCTGTGGGAGAAGAAGCGCGTCAACAACCCCCTGCCGCGCTGGATCTGGAGATTCTTCGACGTCGTTTCCCACGCCGGCAAGCTCTGCTGGGTGGACACCGCGGCGGGCCTCCTCTTCTGCGACCCATTCGTCGACGAGCCGCACATGGAGTACGTCCCGCTCCCCAGGGTCGACCTCCCGCCAGAACACAATGGAGACTGCCGCGGCTGCGGCTACTGCGCCGAGAGAGCGCTTGCCTCCCGCCGCTACGTGCAGCTGAGCGACGGCAAGTTCAGGTGCGTGGACATGGGCTCCTGCAAGCGACGGTGCTACTACCAAGGTCACCATGCACACGCTGGTTGATCCAGGGACCAAGGTGTGGACGCTTGAGTACGCCGTGAGCTTCGCCGACATCTGGGCCAGCGAGAGCTACAAGGCGGCTGGGCTGCCGGAGAAGGCCCCGGTGCTCGCGCTCGTCCACCCCAAGAACCCCGACATGGTGTACTTCTTCGTGAAGGACCAGCTCGTCGGCGTCGACCTGCGCGCGAAGGAGGTCCTGGAGTACGAGACACACAAGATGACCGTGCCGGAGAACGCCCGTGTGTTTTCTTACGGCCTTCTTCCAATGGAGCTCCCGCCCGCGCTCTCCGCAGGTAATTGTTCTGTGCGCTCGACACTTCCTTGATATTACTAGTGCTCGTCTTGTCAATGTTCTCGAATCTGCTAATTAGAACGGGACATGGTACTGCGGTTTCAAAGTATTGCTCCTATTGGTCGTGTAGTGACAGTATTGATGAATTTTATACTACTAGCAGTATGTTCTAGCTATTTTGTCCGTTTTGCGCGCGTTTATAATCTCATGGTTTGATTAGTTAGTTTTTGTGTTCAGTGTTCCATGTTGATTGGTGTTCATTTGAGTTTCTTGCATATCTATTTGGCCATTCATATGTTGATCTTGATGGTTCCTGAAATTCATTAAATTTTGACAATGTCTAGAACTTTATTTATGGTGTTCGTTTTCACAAACATTAATTTGCACATAAATATGCATTACTCAGTATGATAAAAAGTTCAGTTCTGCTGCTTAATTCATACCCACTATCTACTGAAAGTGACTGCATGAACCGTGTGATATGTGTCATGTATAATTACACATCTTGCATCCATACGCTGAAATTGCAATACATTCATTTTTGTTCATGTAAAGAACATTTATGTTGCCCTGAATTTTTCTGAATGTACTAATAAGGTGTTAAGACACAAAGACCTATCATTGAGAACAATATACACAATTGTACACATTGTATTGAAGATGGATACATCTACAAACATCAATTCATGTTTTCTTTTTCATTCATCACTTAAACGTTACTGCTAGTAGTTTATTTTGCTGTATGTTGTTATTCCTAACATTTGCACCAACTTCTTGCTGCAGTCTCAGATTATTATTTCCTCTTGCTCTTCATATTCTCTTATTCATATATGTGAATATTGACAACCATATAGCACTTTTTAGGGCAAGATTATTACCACTTCAATTCCTGTCACTCAAATCAAGTTGTTCTATCAGTTATCGCTTCCTCTTCATTTTATCCTATAATAACAGAAATTTGTCTAGTTTTTATCAAACCATGCAAATGCACTTTTAGGGCAAGATTATTAGTACCACTTCCTGTCACTCAAACATGCATGTTCGTTAGTATTTGACAAACTTGTGTTTTCTTTGATTGAAGGTTTGTCTAAGGAGGGTGCTGCCAATAATTCGAGTGGTGTGAGATCTGCGTCACTGGCTTCCCCGCCATCTGATCCCAATGGATCCTAGAGTGGGTTGTTCTTGTTTCGTCCAGGGAACCACAAAGCTCAAGTGAAGAAGCTACCTGTGCGTGTGATAACCAGTTGGATGTAGGCATTTTGCATTGGATCTTTCAAATGTTGGCATTTTGGAGTTCTCTTCGCCTGCCTCTTGAGAATGACTGTAGAATGCTGCTATTCCTTTTCATGATTTGTTGTGCTTATGTCGGATAGTACTGTTGCACTTATTGCGCTAGTACTCGAGTAGTATGTTGATCGCATGCCTGGATAATTAAATTAACTTTGCAGGTTTAATTTGCCTTTTTTTATGCTCCTCTTGATTATTGTTTCTGCTGCTGCATCCTCAAAGTTGGAACCTGGAATCAACTTTGAGTGAAAATCACACAGTACTTGTCAAGTTGCCCTGCCTGCACACCTGGTCTCCATTTGCTGCTCTTCTTTTTGATCCCCATCAAGGCGGGTTCCCGTGTAGTAGTTTAGAAAAAAAATTGCAAGCCATAAATTCAATCTACATCTTGACGAAAAGGGATTAAATTGTTCTGTTTTTTTTTAAAAAAATACTAAACGCTCCTAAACACAGATTACGAAATCATTAGATTGTTCACCAAGGCATGCATTTGTTTGAATTTTTCTGGAGTGCTTATTGTATCCGGTGAATCAATTTTTTTCACATTGTGAAGTAATTATCGTTCTAGTATGTTGTTAAGAAATCTCAAGGGTTAAGCTATGCTATGCCTAGTAGAAAGTATTTTGTTCGCGTCATGTTGCATGCGACGACGTGCATCTCTTTTGGCATTTTGTTTCTTTTCTTACCCTAATCTCTCTCACTGGCTCGTGGACCTAAAACCTAGCGGAAGGTTTCGTGCGCTGCTCATTTGTGTTCAGCTGGTCGAAGCAGCGCGGCCGCTGGCGTGGCGGTGGTGCTGCCGCGCGCGACGTCCGACTCACGTACGCCGACTAGCTCGGCACGCCGGCAGCAGCAAAGCTCACGTTGCTACACGAGTCACGTCTCGCTCGGCTCACGCACGCACGAATGCAGCGCGCCGCCGACGTCTCCCTCGAGCTCGCCGCGCGAGTCGGTGCTCACCGTGTCCCCGCGTGTCTCGCTCCGTCCTCGCGCGCTCGACCCCTCCGCGGGGCTTGTCCTCGTCCAAGCCCCCATCCCCTCCGGACTCCGACGAGCCGCTGCATGCCCTGGGTCCCGTACTAGTACTACTTCGTCAGTTCGTCTTGGACGTCGCCGCCGGCACCGCCACCCGCGTCCCCTACCGGGGGAGCCCACCTTGAACGATGACCTCGGCGTCATCGCCGCGCCAGGGCCCAGGAGGCGGGGGGAACTACATGGTGGTCGAGTTCAAGCCAGTATTAGGCGACGACGGGGAGGACGACGACACCATGTTCGTGTCATGAGGTTACGACCTGTGATGATATGCGTAGTAGACACGGGCAGTGGTCCGGAGCTTGCGGCGAATATTTCCGTTCACGTCGATGCGGCTCGTCTGCCTTTTCCCCGAGCTGCCCCTCCCCGCACACACCGAAACGGCAAGTGCCAAAAGAAAAAAGGAAGATCACCCATGCATCCTCCAGGCTCCAGCTCTGCATTTCTGGTCTCCGCCACGCCACAAAAACCAAGGATTGATTCAAACTCGTCCCACCAATCTTTCCCATTGATTCGATTTGCTCATCTCATCCCCTCCTCAAACCCTAGCTTCTACTAGTACTCCTCCTCATCGATCGCCGGCTCGCCGCTCTCCAACTCGCACCAAGCCCGAATGGCGCCTCCGTCGTGGGTGATCCTGAGCTGCGAGCCGCGGGTGTGCGGCGGCGGCGACGACCCCGTCCTGCCGCAGGGAGCCGACGTCGCCCTCTCCCTCGCCGCGCCGCCGCGCGTCGCGGTGCTCTCGGTGTCCCGGCGCGTCTCGCCGGCCGAGGTGGACCCCTGCGCCAGGTGCAAGTCCCCCTTCGTCCTCGCGCTCGACCCCTCCGCGGGGCTCGTCCTCCTCGTCGCGCCGCCGCCACCGTCCCCCGACGACTCCGGCGACCTGCGGTCCTGGACCGACCGCGACGGCAACGAGCGCACGTTCCGCGTCAGCCTCATCCCGCGCCCGCTCTACTTCGTCTGCGACGTCGCCGCCGCCACCGCCTCCCACGTCCCCGACCCGGAGCGCCTCATCTTCAACAACGACCTCGGTGTCATCGCCGCGCCAGGAGGAGGCCGGGGGAACTACATGGTCGTCGAGCTCCAGACCATCGTCGGCGATGACGAGGCCACCCTGCTCTGCTTCTCGTCCGTGACCGGCGAGTGGGAGGAGAAGGACGTCGGCAACCCACTGCCGAGCTGGATCTGGACCTTCTATGACATCATCTGTCACGACGGCAAGCTCTGGTGGGTGGACACCGCGGCGGGCCTCCTCTTGTGCGATCCGTTCGCCGATGAGCCGGACATGAAGTACGTTCCACTGGAGGACAAGGAGGACGACCTCCAATCTGAAGACGAAGACGATGACGATGGCTGCGGCTACTGCGCCGAGAGAGTGCTCGCCACCGGCCGCATCGTGCAGCTGATCGACGGCAAGTTCAGGTGTGTGGAGGTGAGCTCTCCAAGCCACGGCGCCGCTCCCGAGGTCTCCATGCGCACGCTGGTTAATCCAGAGACCGCGGAGTGGGCGCCTGAGTACACGGTGAGCTTCGCCGACATCTGGGCCAGCGAGAGCTACAAGGCGACCGAGCTGCCGGAGAAGGCCCCTCAACTCAGGAACGCGTTCGTCCACCCCATGAACCCGGACGTGCTGTACTTCTTCCTGAAGAAGCATATCTTGGGCGTCGACGTGCGCGCGAGGAAGGTCGTGGAGTACGAGGCCCGCGACTCTTCTGAAAGCGTTCTTCCATGGAAACTCCCACCCGCGCTCTCCGCAGGTAATGCGATTCCGCAAGCTTCACATTTTCCTGTCAATGTTCTGGTTTGCAGTACGGATCCAATTGCTCGTGTCAGTGTTGAGCAGCTACAGATTATATCATCAATTATATCTGCTTTTGCGTTCAATGTCATGGCTTGATCGGTTAATTCGTGTGTTTGATGTGTCATGTTGATTGGTGTGTCGTGTGTATGTGGCATGTGTGTAATGCCTATGTTTTTCATGATAACTATGCAGTTGTGAATTCTCAGCGGAACGGCGTTCATTTGAGTTGCTTGCTTGGCTGTTTGGTTCCTAGAGTTCGATAGATTTGGACAAATTTTGGTCTAGAATGTATAGTGACCATCTTCTATATATCTTGACTTTTGGATTTGGCATTTTTGACACTTATGTGCACATCTCTTGCGCAAGCAGAGCTACAAAATTTTTTTTGGATGTTTACCTGTTTTGACTTTTGCATTTGCCATTTTTGTTTACCTGTTTTGCTGTTTTATGTCCATATATTCCCCAGGAAAGTTTGAGAAAGTACTAGTACTTGATAAGTTTTGTTTTACTATACATTTCTAGTTTGGTAAGTTCTCACAAATACTTGATAAGTTTTGTTTTACCATAGAATCTTTGTGAAATGAAAATCGCCAGCAGGTGATCTATGACAGTTTTACCCCTTAGTTAAGTTCTACTTCATTTTCTCCAATGCATAACAACAGGCTAGCTAGTTTTTACCAAATCGATTACATATTGTTCAGAATTTTGACTAACTTATGTTTCCATTTCCATTATGTTCAAAAACTTATGTTTCCATTGATTGAAGGTCTGTCCCAGGAAGGTGCTGCCAATGGTGTGAATGATGGAGTGCCATCTGCATCGCCGACTTCGCTGCCGTCTGATCCCAAAGGAGCCTAGAGTGGGTCCTTGTGACTGATAGCCCGTTGGCATTTGGAATGTTCTTCGCCTCCCTCTTGAGAATGGCTGCAGTGTTTGCTTATTCCTGTCCGTGATGTCTTAATTTAAGTTTTTTGTGAGGGGCGATGAATTGCTTTACTTGTGTGAACGGTATTACTGTTGAAGGCAAACTGTTTTGACCCTTATGTTAATTTAACTCTGCAGTTTTACTATGCCCTCATGTTATGCTCCTCTTGATTATGGTTTGTGGTACTGCATGCTCAAAATTGGCAACTTGTGTATGTGTCTAACAAATTTCTGCTTGCGTGAATATCACGGGAAAAAGCCAATTTATGCGCTCCGCCATGGACACTCCAAGAAAAGCTCTGAAATTTTGTTTGTAACATCGAGTTTTTTTTAAAATCTTTTACACAACGCATGCATTTGTTTCAAAAAATTTTGGACATGAACTAAGAGCACCCGCAATGGTAAAGTAAGGTGCTCTCTATAAAACATTTATATCTCAGCAATAGACTAGATTAATAGTAAACCACCTCAATAGTATGTCTACATGGGTATCTATAGCTATCTCATCCATTGCCTCGTTTTTCTCTATAGACTATCTCTAAGTTAGTAGATAGCTTTACTCTTTCTCTTCATTTAATCTCTTCCAAGTAGAAAAATATGCTGACATGGATCTCTTGTAGAGAGCCTATAGATAACCATTGCGGGTGCCATAAGTCATTGTTATCGTTGACATGATCGAGATATTTTTCCACTTTACCAAGTCATTATAGTATCTTGTTAATACTCCCTCCGTCATGAACCAATCTCGTACCTACGAGGTTGGTTTATTTTGAGACTGAGAAAGTATATCTTAAATAATATCTTAAGGATTAAACTATGCTAAAATTTTGTTTGTGTTGGTTACCTGTGACAATATGAAGATAAAGATTTTATCTTGGTTTCCACTAGCACGCTTATCAAACTATTAAACGATGTGTTTTATGTGAATACTTTCTATATGAAAGTTGTTTTAAAATATCAAATATATCCATTTTCAAGTTTGTAATAAGTGACCTATATAATCCGATGAAGTTATACGACTAGCGTACGACTGAAACGGCGACGGCGTAAAGTGATGCTGTAGATTGGACCTACGCCACAAGCCCATAACACTCTCATATCATATACATAGGCCCATGTACAAGTCCAAACCACCATATCATGTCAACATGGTCACACGCTGCTTCTGCCGGAGCTTTAGGTCAATCTGAAATGCTGAATCCACTAACTGTCAACTTGATCTCAACATTCTAGTATTATTTTCAGTGTAGTAGATGTTACCAATATCAGTTCATATAACTAGGTAAAGCAAGTTCTTTTTTTACTCTTTTATATACTATAACCACCAAGATCAGTTCATATAACTAGCTTACCAATTATCGATTGTGCTTATGTCAAACAATTAAGCTATGCACAATTAACTGAGGGCCATAAGCATTCCAATAGCATGTGAAAACCCACTTATACTCTCACAGCCGTAACATACAAACAAATTATCTGGACAGACTTGTACAATGTAATGATGAATAGAAGAAACTAAGAAAAGAATTGAAAATTAGCACATGAAGAAGATCCATTAAAAGCTCATGTAAGACGGTGATTTCCACGCACACGAGGAATCTGTTGGTAGTATTGTTGCTGATTCCAGGGACCCGGCCAGACATCGTAATTAGCCACGGTTGTGACTAGGCTTTTGGAAGGCCCAATGAGATTGAGATTCGGATCACAACCTAATAGGTCAGCTCGCGGATGTCACATATGCCGTCGCCGTGGTTGTACGAGAGTCGGACGCTCGTGGTCGTATGTAAAGCATTTTCCTTGTAGTAATTAAAAGTCAATTAATTATACGCTGATAGATTTCTTATTTTACGTGCATGTATTTAATGTGAATCTTATAATATTCGAACGCAACCTTTGTATCTCATTTGCTATCTTTCACTTGCAGGTGGGCCCAGCAGTCATCACCCGGTCAAAGCTCCAGGTCCATTTTGCGTAGCTGGCAAGGCACATCCTCTCCAGTCGCCAGCCATTTAAATGGCCTAATCCCCTGTGGCCTCTGCTTCGAAAGCAAAATGGACAACACACAATTTCATTACGTGTAGTTTCATTGAGAAGATGGAAAAGGGAGAGAGTGGCGGAGCGGGAGGTGGTCGGCAACCAGGGGCGGTACGGCAATGGATTAGAATCATCGACGGTGTGCAAGGTTTCTGATGTCCAGTGAACCACTTCGAGAGGATTCCGGCGGGAATGCACGAGCAGATACTTGATCTCCTCCGCTTGACGATGTCATCCACACGTCGGTGCTCTCCCCGTAGTGGCGTGACGCCGTGCAGCGGCGGTTGGTGGGGCACTCTGTGCAAGTCGAGTTCAGCCCCCGACACCCAGTTGGAGAAGCTCAAGTGCCTGGTGGAGCGGTCGGCGAGGCACCTCAAGATCTTCTTCCTTGTCGTCGACCACTACATAAGCCTGACGAGAGGCGAGTTCGTCTGGCGCTTCCTCGTCGGCGCCGAGCAGTCCACTGTCAAACACCTCTACATCCACCTACGCAGCAGTTCGGCGAGGGACAGGATCACCTTCTCCTTCCACTATCTGAATCCGCTCCTTCAGAGCCACACGCTCCGCGAGATCAACTTCTCCGCTCGATTGTTCTATTGGGTCTCCCCGCCCCCCGCCCTTCGCCCACCTCACGACTATCCACCTCAACTCCATCCGCATCACCGACGAATTGCTCGTTGGCATGGTCTCCTTTTGTCGGCCCGTTCTCCGCGTCCTCAAGGTGCTCTACTGCACAGACTTCGCGATGTCTCCATCTGGGCACCAACGCAGCGGTTCTTCACCATAGTGGAGTGTGAAGATCTCGAGATTGGTTCTCCTACAACGCAATCGCCTCCGCTCCTACCACTACGGCGGCAGCCCTAGCTCGTTCTACATTCCTGCCGGCGCCGGTAGGCTCACCGGCCTTTACATCTGTAGTGCCCTGCCTATCCTCTCCAACATCACTGCCCTCACCATCTGCGGAAATTCCCTGAAGGTATGTGTCGGTGACATGGGACCGGGAGTATCATGACTAGAGGCTTGGGCAGCCGCGATCACCCACGTGGCCTGACCCCCTCGGGGGGGTCGGGCCCGAGGGTGATGTGGCCGCCCCTCCCTTTGTCTCCCCGAGGGGTCGGACTGCTCCCGTTTCGACCCCGAGGGCCAGGGCGCCCCGACCCCCTGTGGGTTTGGCGCCACGTATATGGGTTAGGTGAGCACAGCGGGGCTCACCTAACCGCATTTATTGCGGGTTGGACGAGCGCGTCACGCCACATGTAATGCAGCGCAGCGCGCTCGCTTATCCGGTCCGTGACCGGGCGCAGCGTGTGACCGGTCACAGACCGGTCAGATCGCGGGTTAGGTGGTGGCAGGTGGCCTGTTACACGCCTCGCCCCGTCCCGTCGGATTGATGAGAGCCTCCAGGCACTTGTCCCTAGCCGGAGACGGCGTGCCAGCTCCTGAAGATGGCACGTCGGTCCCGGTCAGATATATGCCAGGCTTCATCCCAACCATTGCAAGGAAGTCATTGTATGAAGAAGGGCAGATATGCAGCTTGCTAAACTGACGCGTGGTGGACGAGAGTGACCGGTCTGTGACTGGTCACACGCCTGTCATGTCATCGGCAAACAACCGTGCTTCCACGTTGCACCTGCTTCCGACGGAGTGGAGGTTGGTATGACCCATCCCATCGGAGGGTCATTCAAACAGCAGCCATTGCAAATCTCCGCCCATTAATGAGGGAGGACAGGGCTATCCCGGTGTCAGATAAAAGTACGAGCCAAATCTTGCTCAAAGTAGGATGGGTCCCCACCCAAAAGAAGGGTAGGTAGAAATGGTATATGTAGTATCCCCTTGAGATATAAAAGGAGGACCATGCCTACCAAGAAAAAGGGGAAAAAAAGAAAGAAGGAGAAAGGGGAGCTCGTAGAAAGGACGGGGAAAAAGAGTAGGGAGAGGGTCTCTAGAGTTAGAAGGCTCTTGCTTTCCAGCTCTTTGTAACTCCTTCAGAGACAGATCCGCCAGAACACAGGAGTAGGGTATTACGCTTCTCAGCGGCCCGAACCTGTCTACATCGCCCGTGTCTTGAGCGTTTGCTCTCTCGCGAACCATTCCACAGATCAAGAGTTTAGAAGCTCACTTAGCGCCCCCGGCCGAACCGGCAAAGGGGGGCCCGCGCGGTCTCCCGGTGAGGAGCCCCACGCTCCGTCATCTGGCGCGCCAGGTAGGGGGCGCGTGTGTTTTTCTAAGCTCTCATCCTCTTTCGTGTGCGCCAAGCTTTTCCCGTTCAGCCCAATGGCCGAACGAGCAAAAGCGCACAACCTCTCTCCGAGCGCTAGCGGTGACGACAGCGAGCAGAACCCGCGTCGTCGAGCTCGTACTCCGCCGCCCCCTCTCGCCGAAGTCTTAGGCGGGAGGAGGCGCTCGAGGGGGTCGAAAGATCCGCGACTTCGCCGTCCACGAGCGATGGAGAAGGACGGCGAGACGGGGAGCGTCGTCTCCTCATCTACGGTGATGGCACGACGCCCCAGGGCGCGCTCCAGGCTGCGGGCGCGCTCCTGCGTCACCCGCCCGTCGTCCCTGATCCAGAGACTCCAACTCGACGTTGGCTAGATGACGTGGCCAACTTGGTCATGACGGCGCAGCAGCGTTTAGGCGCCGGCGGGCGGTCCTCCGCCACCAAGGCCACTGGTGCTGCTACTGCCGGCTCCGTATCGTCGAGGCGGAGGGCGCGGCGAGCGGCGGCCGTTGCCCGCCGTTCGTCCGCCATTCCCTCGTCAATGCCTCCGACCCAAGAAGATGTGCGTGAGGGGCCGGATGCCCGCCTCAATATCGAGCGCCGGCGCAATGATCGCCGTGCTGCCCACGCATCGGAGGGCGCTTCCTCGTCCGGAGCGCCACTTCGGTCCGGGCACGGAGGCCAGCCCCCCGTGTCCCCGGTTGGCGGTGCCGGCTGTCGAGCCTTTGTGGCGAGCCTTCGGAACGTCCGTTGGCCCCCAAGGTTCCGGCCCACCATCACCGAAATATACGACGGAAGCGTCAACCCCGCCGAGTTTCTCCAGATCTACATGACTGG